TAAATCTTCCTAGAGCACACATAGGTACTTTTCCTTTTGAGACCTCTGAACTGTATTGAAAAGTAGGGACATCTGCCACAAAGGAAAAACAAAAAAAAAGTTCAATGATGTTCACATCAGTACCTCTTAAAGTTCTTGAAAGTGAAATGTTGGGAGACAATTTCAGTGTCTTTCTTACTCTTCCATTTCTATAAAAATCTAGTTGGCTGAGCTCTGAGACACCTTCCTAACAATAAATCTAGGTTTCCCAGAATAAATTCCGTCTAGTTACTCTGCATTATCAGTTTGTCATGCTATTTATTTCTCGAAATGTCTTCAGAAATACTAAATGAAGCAATTTCTTCCAAATTCCTAGTCCTGGGTTTGAGTTTCACAATATTGAAAACATCTCTAAAATATTTGATCCATCCTTTGATTGCTTTAAATGCCTTAAAAATGCATTCCAGGGCTGGTGAGATGGCTCAGTGGTCTAAAGCACCTACTTAGAACAAGCTAAGCTAAGCTAAGCACGGGGACCGCGGTTCAATCCTCCAGCACCACATGCCAGCCAGCCCCGCCCTCTGGTGGGCTGAGCTGGCCACACACACACAAAATAAATAAATTAATTAATTAAAAAATGCATTCCAAAGGTTCACAAGTAAAGCTGGGTATGATGGGGATGCCGGTAATCCCAGGTACTGGGGAGGCCGAGAAAGGATTGCCAAATTTAAGGCCAGCTTGGGCAATCTGGTGAGACCCTTCTTGAAAATAAAAAAACAGGGGGCCAGGGAGATGGCTCAGTGGAATAAGTGCTTCCCAAGCAAGTGTAAGGGCCTGAGTTCAAACCCTGGTTCCACCAGGAAAGAAGAAAAAAACAGCTGGGAGCCAGGCATGATGGCACATGCTTGTAATCCCACCCCTTTGAGAGGTTAAGGTAGGAAATTTACAAATGCAAGCCACGGCCGGGGAGATGGCTCAGCAGAATAAGCACTTGCCTGGCAAGTGCAAGGGCCTGAGTTCAATCCCTGGTTCCGCCAAAAAATAAAAAATAAAAAAAAATCAAGCCCAGAACAAGACCCTATTTAAAAGTAAAGTAAAAAAAGGCTTTAAAAAAAAAAAAGGCTAGCAATATAGCTCAAAGGCCCTAGGCTTAATTCCCAGCACTTTAAAAAAAATTCCAGGGCCAGGGATTTAGTTTAGTAGTACAGTACTACCTGGTCCTGAGTCTGATCCCCAGTACCAAAAAGAAAAAAAGAAAAAATTCCCCATAAGGATGGAACAATTTATTTTATGTTAGCTAAAATTAGGGAAATGATTTATGAAAGAAATATTTGTGTCATAGAATGCTGTTTAAGAGATAGACTGGGCGTGATTGTGCATGCCTGTAATCCCAGCACTCTGGGAAGCTGAAGTAGGAAGATTACAAGTTTGAATCTAGCTAGGGCAGTTTAGTGTAGTCCTGTTTTTGTTGAGTTTTTTTTTTGCAGTGCCAGGGACTGAACTAAAGACCCTGCGCTTGCCAAGCAAGTGCTTATTCTACTGAGCTATCTCCCCAGCCCCTGAAACCCTGTTTTAAAAAAAATAAGAAGGGTAGGGCAGGGGAGATAGCTCAGCGGCATAAGTGCCTACCTGGCAAGCACAAGCTTCCAAGTTTGATCCCCAGTACCAAAAAAAAAAAAAAAAAAAAAAAACAGGGGTTGGGGGCTCAATGCTAAGGCCCAGGATTTTTATTTTTTATTTATTTATTTATTTTTGGTGATACCAGGGATCAAACTCAGGACCTTGCACTTGCCAGGCAAGCACTTATTCCACTGAGCTGTCTCCCTGGCCCGGTTGGCCCAGGATTCAACCCTCAATACAGCAATACAGAGGAGCCAACGACAGGGAGCAGGGGGAAAATAGAGAAGACATCTGAAGCACTGCAGTTACTACCCAAAGTGAAGTAAAAGTCAAAGCTTGACAATCCACTGTTTAAAAGACATTTTGGTTCATTAAAGTTTTTTTTCTTTTTTCTTTTCTTTTTTTTTTTTTTTTTTTTTTTGTGTGTGTGGTACCAGGGATCGAAGTCAGGACCCTGTGCTTGCCAGGCAAGCGGTTATTTTACTGAGCTATCTCCCTGGGCGCCTAAAGGGCTATTCTTATGAATACATGGCAATGGGGCTGGAGAGATGGCTCAGTGGTCTAAAGCACCTACTTGGAACAAGCTTGGCAAAGCACAGGGACCATGGTTCAATCCCCCAGCACCACATGCTGGCCAGCCGCGCCCCCTGGTGGGCTTAGCTGGCCACACACACACACACACACACACACACACACACTATAAATAAATGTTAAAAAAAAAAAATGAATACATGGCAAGGCAAAAATATACTTGCCTAAGCTTGACTAAACAGGTGCTTTAGACCGCTGAGCTATTGTGTTCAATCTCCAGTAACAAGAAATAATCTTAAAAAAAGTGTATTTTCACCTACGATAAAAGCCTAACAGTAACAAACCTCTGCATTTTAAGTTTTTCTAAAATTATTCAATGTATTGGTATCAGCACTTGTTTCTCCAAATGGGTATCATGCTAACAAGTCTTCATTCTGTTATAAAAACAGAACTATTAAAGCTCAATGTTCCCATTAATGAAATCTCTAGCCCCTTTAGATCTTCTCCAACCTAGCATTTTCTCCAAGACAAAGTACTCACAGATATCATTCCCCCTTGCCCAACCCTTCTAAAACAGCACTTACATTTTTTGTATTTTACTGACATCATACATTACACAGGTATTCTCCATCTTGAGTTCCTAGTGAACAGAGACTGCTTCCTAGCACAAAGAAGGCACTAAACAAAACTCTCATGTTGAACATGGCCCAACTCCCCTATCAGCTTTCAGATGGTTTAAGAACTCTCTTTGAACACCAAACACCACTTTTTCCTCCTTACCGTAACAGCAGTGAAAATTTCACTCAAAATTTTAATGAGAAACACTTGAATTTTTCTTTGAAGCTAGTGCACTAGAAAAATGCACCTTAGTGACAGCAATCACAACCGATACAGATCATCCCACTTCCTACATATTTTGTCCTTACTAGCAATAGAAATGTGTAAGTTACTTACTCCATCTATCCAGTTTAGGGTTTCTCTCACAATACCCACCAGCTTTTACTGTAATTTATCAGCCTGCACAGATTTCTTATCTTAAAAAAAAATAGATTGTTAGGAATTTTTTTTTGGCGCTTATTCCACTGAGCCATCTCCCCAGCCCCTTCTTAGGAATATTTTTCTTGGGGGGGGGGTTTAAAGACCACACTTTTAAAAAAAAATTTATTTTTTTCCTTGTTAGGAATATTGACAGCGAGCAGGAAGTGGGGGCTCACTCCTGTAATCCCAGCTTTCTGAGAGGCTGAGGTAGGATGACAAGCTTTAGACAAGTTGGGCCAACTTTGTCAGATCATATTTCAAAATTAAAAGGAGGGGTAGGGATGCAGCTCAGTGTGAAGACCCTAGGTTCAAGTCTCAGCACCATAATCACCACCAAAAAAAAAAAAGTCAGAAAGAGCCCAATAGATACTGATGATATATCTATGATCAAAGCACAACAGCCTTGCAACATCTACCATCTCCATATGCAAGTCTTCACTGGTTACTCTGGTTTTGTCAGGGAAACCAAAAAAACTACTGTCACTTCAACTTTTACTTAGTACTTTTTAACCAGGGATTAAACTCAGACCTTTGCACTTGCCAGGAAGTGCTTATCTACTGAGCCATCTCCTTGGCCCCACTTATTTTTTTATGTATTTTAGTACAGTACAGGGTCTCACTACACAAATCAGACTCATAGTGACCCTGCTGTTTTCAGCCTCCCAAGTGCTGGAATTGCAAGCTCATGCCACCACACCTTCTTTAGCACGTCCTGGGGATAGAGCCAGCACGGCACAGGGATTGAACGCCAGTCCCTGCGTCTGCCTAAGCAGGTGCTCTAGTCCGCTGAATCTACTCTTAGTACTTAAAAGCCAACCTACTATTGTGAATTAAAGCCATTTCAAAGCTCTTCTGTAACTAAGCCTGAATGAGAAAGTCATGAATTATATCTATTTTATTTCATAGCTGTGATATATGTATTTAATAACCAACTTAAAATTGTATCATACTACATTTCTAGGAAGATGCACAGGGGCCGGGGAGATGGCTCAATAGAATAAGCACTTGTCTGGCAAGCACAATGTCCTGAGTTCAAACCATGGTACTGCAAAAAAAATAAATAAATAAAAGTAAAATCTGAATAGCCCTTTTAGGGGCCGGGGAGTTGGCTCAGTAGAATACGCGCTTCCCTGGTAAGCCCAAGGGCCTGAATTCAATCCCCTGTTCCACAAAAAAACAAAACAAAACACGTTGATACAACTGTTCTTTTTCCTTTATCTTTTTGAGACATCTATATAGACGTCAGGCTGGCCCCACATCTTCAGCAATCCTACTTTGGCCTCTTGGGTGCTGGGACTATAGGAGCATGTATCACCAGAACTGACAAATACTCCAAAAACCCCCAACTCTAATGTGTACTAAAGCCCATCATCAAAGAGCCACTGTCTTGTATTTCATTAAACATATGCATCTAGTAATTTTTTTTTTTAAATTTTATTTATTTGTGTGTGTGTGTGTGTGTGTGTGTGTGGCCAGCTCAGTCCACCAGGGGGCGGGGCTGGCTGGCGTGTGGTGCTGGGGGATTGAACCATGGTCCCTGTGCTTTGCTGAGCTTGTTCTAAGTAGGTGCTTTAGACCACTGAGCCATCTCACCAGCCCCATCTAGTAATTTGTATACATGTTACTCGGTTTATAATGTGGTAAACACAAAATAGTTTAAAAAAAAAAAAAAAAGGCACCATAACAGTTAGTTAAGGTAAGCTCAGAGTGACTTTTAATATGCCTGTCAATGTTAATAAAACACAAGTCAAACAGACAAGTGCAAACATGTTTTAGGCCAAAATCGGGAAAACAAAACAAAACAAAACAAAACAAAACAAAACAAAAAAAAAAAATTTTTTTTTCTTCAAAATATATTAGCCAATATTATCAGTCAAATGGCTAATAACAGATAAAACTTATCTTGAAAAACCTGGAATCAGAAGTCATTCTGGCATTTCAAACAGCTCTGTACAGTATTACAAAGATCAGTTTATATACAAAAATAATGAAATCAGGCAAAATATTTAAAAACAGACCATCCATACAATCAAGTACAAAACTTAGGAGGAAGAAGACATTTTAAAGAGTCAAGGACATTATCAGAAAGAAAATTACAAAACCAGTAATAATTATACTACATTAATACAGCATTCCAAAAGAGAACAGGTGCATTTTTTCAATGCACTAGCTTCAAAGAGTTTTAAAAAAGGGCAAATAGCTGCTTTTCATCAAAGAGCAGCTATATATTTCACATAATTGTTTCAAAAGAAAGCCTATTAACAATGATGATTGTTTAATGCTACAACTTTACAGCAAGGACAAAACTAAAATAGCAGCAAATCCACAAGGCAAAACTTCCACAGAATTGTTCTATGGTTCATGCAATGCCTACAAAGTGCTCCCAGTTGGATATACAAGTACAATTCACAATTCAAAAAAAAAAAGATCAACACAAAGGTGCGTCAGAGGCCAAGTAGTACTAAGTCTTTCAGCATTTCCCATTTTGAAGGGAGAGTATGTCTGTAATAAAGCCCTTGAGTCCTCTATACAGATCACTACAGGGAAAGACACCTTTTATTACAATGCAACAAACAAACTGTAAGCAGCACACCACCATAGTGGTTAACCCTGCAAAGGCTTGGTGTAACGTCCAACAGTGACTGACATCCTAGAGAAGACAGACTGGTAAGACTAAACAAAGCCTGATATAGCAATGGTCAAAATAGAGCCTCCAACTGTAATTCACAAATAAAAATCCTAAAAGGTACTTAAGTACCAATCAAGAAATTAATTGCAAAGTAGACTCTAGCAGTGATTTCAACCTAGCTTGCTCCTGTCACAGTTTTTTGGGGAAGGAGGGAAATGAGTTCAGTATATAGTAAGGCTGACAGAGCGATTCATTTTCTTCCCAATAAGTCGAGAGGTTCTATTACTCTGGGTGGTGGATCTTGTGGCCATCCGGTCAGTGAAGAGCGCTCTTTCCTCAGCTGCAGCTTTTGCCATCTGAGCTTTCTTGAGTTCTCTGAGAACATGAAAATATGAAAGAACACTTTTAACCCTCTCTTTTCTTCTCTTTTTTTTTTTTTGGCACTTGCCAGGCAAGCGCTTATTCTACTAAGCCATCTCCCCAGCCCGACTTTTTTTTTTTTTTGAGGAACTGGGGATTGAACTCAAGTCCTTGCACTTGCCAAGGAAGTGCTTATTCCACTGAGCCATCTCCCCAGCTCCAGCCCAACTTTTAACCCTCTTAATTCAAAGAAGAAAGTCTAAGAGGCCAAGCACAAAGTGTATTACCAAACGGGAGATAGTTACATGTCATTATTATAAGATCCAACTAAGAAAAGGAAAAATAGAACATGAAATTTGAACTGCTAGTCAACTTAAACTTGTGTTTTATTCCATTGTTTCATAATAAAAAATACCACATTCATTTTAATATATGGAGATAGGTAATAAAGATGTTAGTACAAATAATGACTTTGGGTCTTAAATAATTTCATATAAAATTAATTTATAGGAGATGAAAGAATTTTCATATTTGTATAAACTATAATAAATATCAAGTAGTAAGCTAGTAACAAATCTTTTTAAAAAAAATTCATTTATTCATTCATTCACTCACTCACTCACTCATTCATTCATTCATTTGGTACAGACTCATGCTATGCATCTCACTCAGTAGTGATCCTCCTGTCTCAGTGCTGGGATTACAGGCATGTACCACCATGCTCAAGGGCAGTTATAGCATGCAGTACTGGGGATCGAACCCAAGTACTTGTGCTTGCCAGGAAGGTGCTTTGACCGCTAAGCTATCTCCCCTTTACATAAACTTTTTATCTGAAGAAGATTCTTGTAATTTAAGCATTAAATCTGAGTTTTTAGATTTTCAAGTGACTTTTATCAGACTCAAAAGGTAGGAAATAAACCAATTAGAAATAGCTGTCATCTAGGGGGCTGGGGAGATGGCACAGTAGATGAAGCACTTCCCTGGCAAGCACAAGGGCCTGAGTTCAATCCCCAGTTCTGTCAAGAAAAAAAAGAAGGAAACAACAACAACAAAAAAAGAAATAGCTGTCAGAGCCATCAAAGACACTA